ATGGACAAAGTAATTGCTTAATTTGGAATTAAAATTAAAAGAGTATGATTTTGTTTATAAGATATTAAAATATTATGGTTTAATAATGTAAGAACATCTGTCATTATAATATTGTAGTAATAAAATTGTTTTTGTATAATTATTTTATTTTCTTGTCCCTAAAAATTATTCAATTCAATTACCATTTGTATAGTTGCATAAAAATATTTGTATATTTAACACAAACTTTTTTTCAACTTTATAGATTTTCCATTATATCAACACTTCAATAATAAACTTTTTGAAGTTATGTAGAACATAATAAACTTAAAAGTATTGATATAATAATTAATGACAGCCACATAGACCGAAATACACAGGCTTGTTTGTTATGGGGTATAGAAGACAATTTGAACTTAACCCGTATGTGCTCAACTTTATTTTCTCGTAAAAGCTGGTATTTTTTTGTTTTATTCTAAGTCCAATTAACATAAAAATAAGGTTTTCTGAAAATTAAGTAATAAAAAAAAACCATTTGGGACATTTTCACCGCCCCAAGTTTGGAGCGCTGAGCACAGTAGACCATGTTCATAACAACTCCTTAAATTTTTCAATTTTAATTAATTTAAAGAGTAATATTAATATAATAACTATTATAGAGGTTGTAAAGAAATTTTTATTATATTTAAGGAATATTTATTATATAATAGTGCTTATTCCATCATGGTATTTATCATATATTTAGGAGTGGAAAATTTCAAAACAATTAGTATGACAGCCGACATCACATTTTCGGCATTTTTTCGTAGTATTTTTATGGCATTCGGCACAACGTATCTGAGTTGCACTAGAAATAATTAAATGGTCAGCCCCATCTAGATGTACATCGTCTGGCACCCTCCTTTTCCTAGACGGCTTGATAGGACGGCCTAAAGAGCGAGCCGACGCATATCTTAGTAGATAAGTTGTAACCACAGACCTGATAAAGGCTAGGAAATCAAGATTCCCTTTCTCTTGTCCATCTGGTGAGAGCCTGTACAACTGAAAAGCGTTATTCATTGAAGCATTCAAGGGCCACATCAGAAGTTGCCAATACCATTTTTTTTATTTATGCTAACGCGGTAGCAGCCTATGTTTTGATCTAGACAATCTATTCCGCCCATATATTGATTATACATTTGAACACAAAAGGGCTCTTGAATCGAGATTTTTTTTTCTTTCAGCACTTGACCATCGCTGTGCGGATCCAACTGGAGAAACACCTTCACAGGTAGAAGCTATGGTAACAACGTTATTGTCGTTGTATCGCACTAGAGACACGCCTGATGTTTCATCGATGATTTCATCATAGCTCCCACGCTGTTTTTTCTTTATGTCAGCGATTGATTCCAGAGGCGCATTTTCGACCCTATTAGCCCGTATTGTTCCTGTCCCCTGGTGACCAATATCCTTCAAAGCGATGAGCAATCTAAACGATGTAAAAAAATTGTCTATGTAAACATGAACTGGGAAATCTGTAGGAAATTTGGCGACCAAGTTCATAACGACAGATCCTCCAACACCTAAATCGGGATTAGTGTTGCCTGTGCTAGCCCCTTGATAAGGTATGGCTTGTATAAGATATCCCAGCCGTGTAGCCATGCACCAGCACTTGAATCCGAAACGAATGGGTTTTCCATGAATGTGCTGTTTTGTACTATGATCGCCGTAGTAGGGAATCATTGATTAGTCGATGCTAACTTCGTTATAATGAGGCCAATACTTCATCCATTTTTCGTTTAGTTTCTCCCACAAAGGTCGCACTTTTGTGAACTTGTCCTGGACATCTAAAGCTGCGTTATCAGAAACATGCATAAATCGAAGTATTTGTTCAAATCGAGATCGATATATTGCATTAGCTACGCCAGGGTGATAGGTATCGATTCCTATATCCCAGTACATACGGTTCCTTGCTTGAACGTTATATCCACTTAGCAAAAGTATTGCTAAGACGGTGAATTTCTTCTTCGGTAACATCAAAATGTTTACCTTCGAAAACCATATATACCATGCATACCTTCTTGAATTTTCTACAAACAAATTCACAAAGTCGTCATTGTAAAATAATTCAAAAAATTCAGTAGGCGACCTATTAGTGTCTATAAACTCAGGACGATGGCATTCCCTTCTTTGATATTCGGGTAAATCTGATTTTTTCCACTTTCTTTTTTCTATGATCTTCTTTTTGGCGCAGAAGTGGATGCGATCTCCGATAGGGGTACGTTGTCGTCATCACTCGACTCCAATCCTATAAATTCTGTTTGTAATAGTGGACCCGATTTGCACACACATTCAAGCTACGCCTCTGCTCGTAGTTGGTTGCCTGTCAGGTGGTTGATATCACCTACAAGCACATCTTCCTCGTCACTATCGCAGTCACTCAACATATGGTTGCTAGGCGGGCATGTGTGATAGTGCCCCCAACAATGTCATCTTCCGTCTCCAATATGTCAATAATTTCTACCAAACTCAACCTAAAACATCAAAATAAATATAAAAATATAACATATAAAGTACCAATGTAACTGCAGTAGCTATAAACAATGTAAATAAAATATAACGCATATACTATGAAATTTGAAATCAACATGAAAGTACACGACCAGCGCCCCAATAATGGGGCGCTATAAATAATGCCTCTAAAAAACTAAATCTCAACAGAAATAATCGATTTTTATCACAAAACTAACCAAGTGTAAACTAATACATATAACAAACTGCTTTACACAGTTTTACTTATTTGTTACGATATCGCCTTTGGAAAAACCATAAAACATGTAGTTTTCGACGCGAAACGCATATGCCCTCTTAAGGAGTTTACAAGTTGGTTTAAGTGAGAAAAAAAGTGTTTTGTGAGCTTATGATTGGTGAATCTTGTTCAGTTCAGTTCTTAGAATAATTAAATTTTTTATATAAATGTGTTTAAAAGTCATAAAGATTATTCTATAACCTAAAAATTCGTTATCGTTCTTTCTCACTCGAGGCCACGCCGATCATTAGTATATAGGTTTCTCTGTCTACGGTATGGCCAATATATTCATTAATCTAAGGCTGATGATAAATGAATTTGTGGATTTAAGTTACGAAGATAATATAAACCACTTCCGTGACACGAAACAGAAGTATGAGTCATCCCCTCTTTCACTTTCTAGCACTAAAGATTCCGCGAATGAACCCTTTTTTCTGTAATAAATATATTAAAATTTTACACCAAAATATTGCAGGCCTAATAAAAAAATCTAACGCACTTACTGTGTGCTTAGATGAGCTATGTGAAAAAAAAATATTGGTAGATATACTGTGCATTACGGAACATTTTATTAAGGAGTATCAGAAACAATTGTTTGTACCGAATTTTGCCTGGCTACTTATTACTGTAGAAAGGCGCAAGGGAGGGGTGGTGCATGCATTCTTGTGAGAAACGGTCTTCAATTTAAGGATCTACCTAAAATATCGTGTTTATCATCTCCAGGCATATTTGAATGTTGTGCTATTGAGCTTACCGATTATAAGATAATTGTCGTGTGTATATATAGAGTACCAAATGTGAACAATCTTAACTACTGTCTGGATAAACTAGAAACTCTGCAAGAAATATCGCATTCACGATATAAAAACATTGTTGTTGGTGGAGACTTTAATATAGATGTTCTTAAAGAAAATAGCAAACTTAATTTCACTGGCGACACGCACTGGTTGTACAGTCTCGTTTTCAGGTTTTGAGGTATAGCTGACGAGAAGATGTATAATTTCCCGAACGCTGCCCAGCCGAGTTGAAGCCGTCGAGTGACGTCTCGGTCGAAGTTGGACTTACCTAGTCGGACTATTTGTCCCAGGTAAACGTATTCGTCAACAACTTCGAGCTTAGTGCTCCCAACAACTACCGGCATAGGTGTGACATGGACGTTAAACATGATCTTTGTTTTGTCCATGTTCATTAAGACCTATCTGTTGGAAGACACTATTAAGGTCATTGAGCACAAAGCTTAGGTCCACCAGCGATTCTGCCATAAGGACTATATCGTCGGCAAATCGAAGGTGAGTGATGTACTCGCCATTGATGTTAATACCGTATCCTTTCCAGTCCAGTAGTTTGAAAACGTCTTCCAATGCAAAACAAATGCATTTGAATGTTTATTAATTAGATATAACTTGAAACTGCCATTAAAACAACCGACCCGCATGGCTAGCTTAACATGTTTAGACAATTTTGCGCACAATTTTAATAAATCATTTAAGGCTGATGTCTTCGAGTTTGCGCTGTCCGATCATACAGTGCTGCTGCACTGCCCAGTGCATAAAATACATGCAATAAACTATTGGTATACGCCTATAAGGGATTATAATTAGGAATGGGCCGAATATGGATTTCACTGAATACGAATATTCGACGGAACGTTCGCTAAAATTTTTACCGAACCGAATATTCAGCCGAACATTATTGGGCAGGATTACCTCGGTACCTAACCAATTTATGTCGAAACTTGTTATCGTAAAGCGCGCGGGATTAGCGCCAAAGCCTTCCCCTTACTCCCCCGCCACACCTGACATGTTATTGCATCATCTAGTACTGAGCAAATTGCCGGCACATGCTTATGTTTTGACTATTTTTGTGAGAAAAAAGTTTTCTTAGTGAAAATTGTATGTGATGAAAATGAGTGGCAGGAAATCTACTATTTGGACCAATTTCCATTCGTCTTGCGGGACCCATATAGAGCGGACGTGTGAAAATTTTAATGCAAAATTTAACATTATAAAACATTGTAATTTATACTTTATTGTCTTGCGTGTAAGTGTGAAATAGTGTGTGTTGCTGTAACAGTGACGTATTGTGGGCATATCGCTTGTTCACTCGGATCACTTTCTCTGTCCTATTTTGGCATCGCTTCTTGGACTCGTTGCAGCGACGCGCGCATACTTCACTCCCGCTAAGAAAGGACAGAGTAGATTATTTGTTTTTGTCATACACACGAACTAATACGATGCAGCGTACTCCGCCACCAACAACACCTCCGGCACAGAGGCTAAAATATTCGTCAAATCCAGAACTACCCGAAACGTGTGGCGCTGATGATAATACTTTTGTGAGTCTCCGAAAACGTAAGCAGCCTGATGATAAAAATGTTAAGGCGGTACTAGAGTTCGTTGACCAAAAAATTAATGATCAGCTCAGCTCATGGAAATTACAATTGGACATCACCATTGCCGAAAGTATCAGAAATTCAATCGGTACAGTTATTGATAAAGCTAAAGAAAATATCAGCAACTATAAGTAACTCCTTTAAAGAATTAGGAGATAGATTGGATACAATCGACAAATCCTTATCTTATACGATGGAAAGGCAGGATAGTATTGAAACGCGTCTGACACAGGTAGAAAGCCAGCTGAGATCGAACGATGATGTAACCAGCCAGATTAACCTATTAAAAGATAAAATTAATGCAATGGAGCAACAGGCGCGGCTTTATAACGTCGAGATTGCTAACTTACCAGAACAACGTGATGAAAACCTATCTATTATTGAAAAGATTGGTTGTGTCATCAAACACCCTGTCAGCAAATCGGACATTGTATCAGCCCATAGAGTGCCACATTTCGATAAAAAGTGTTCGCGTCCAAAAAATGTTATTATAAAATTTACAACGAAAATAATCCGCGACAACTTCATCACGGCAGCACGGGCAAATAAAGGTTTAAAATCAGACCAACTTGCGGTACCTGGTACTATACATAATGTGTACGTAAACGAACATCTTACAGCTAAAAACAAGCAATTATTTCGATTGTGCCGTCAACAAGCCACTAAGCACAATTATAAATTCACATGGATTAAGCACGGTACTGTTTTGGTGCGTCAAACTGAGACATCTCCTATTTTTGCTGTACGAAGCGAGCAAGATCTCAAGAAAATTAAATCCTAAGTTATCTTTTCTACTGATGTTGTTTTGTCTTAGTTATACTTATATAAATAATGAATGTTCAACCATGGGACTATCGGGCGATTATACTATTTATGCATGTTTACTAAAATTAAGCTCGTTATATACAGATATGTATCAAGTAGGAGAAATAAAATATTTTTTTTACTGGTTACTATTTAAACTTATTTATATTACTAAAGTAAGGCGATTCTGGTATGCAATAACCTATAATAACCACAATCTTAGTCTTTTTTATAATTTTAACTATCTTTTACTAACAACACGTAATATTGTTATATTTAAAAATGGATAAGCATATTTCTATCTATTAGCAGAATTGTCGTGGCCTTAGAACCAAATTACATACACTTTTTATGAATATAATTACTCAATCATACGATATAATAATACTAACTGAAACGTGGCTGCATGCAGACATAACCGATAACGAATACATAGACAATAGGTATAAGGTATTTCGTGCGGATCGAGATCGAGCGGGAAGCGGCCGCCGTGACAGAGGTGGCGTGTTGATCGCGATCCAGCGCACATCATAGATTACTGTATATATATTAGAGAGCGCACACTGTGCTCTGCCGGCTGCGCACCTGCCACTATGACTATGACATCCTCCCCGCTCCCACCCGTTATCGACCAAATACTCATCGAATTTAAATTTGCAAAAAAGTGTTTATTTATAGGTGCAGTTTACATTCCACCAAAACAATGCCATGACGTTTATCTTAGTTACTTAAATATGTTACAAAATAAGTTGCTTGATGTGGATACTAGTGTAACAGATTATTTTATTGTTGGGGACTTTAATTTACCTGACTTAGATTGGATGAATAATAATTCCTATGGGCAATATCCTTGTATCAGCGATCTTAACCAATCTCACATACAAATAAATAATTTTATGGCGGTATTAAATTGCTCTCAAATAAACTCCTTAAGAAACGACAAAGGCCGTATTTTGGATCTTTTTTTCACTAATAAAACGGACTGTGAGTTGTCACCGATATCAAATGCATTAGTTCCTGCGGATAAACATCACCCACCTTTTTGTGTATCGGTTGCGTATGATGCAAATCATGGATACATCCGGCTTAAACCATACCTCAACTACTGTTATAGAAACGCGGACTATAATGAAATTATGCAAAAATTAGTGAATATTGATTGGGATGTCTTATTTTTAAATAAAAGTGCTGAGGAAGCAGTTTCATTATTTTTTTTATAAAAAATTACAGTATTATTAATTTACATGTACCTAAAAATTATATTAGGGCTTCTTCGTATCCTGCCTGGTTTACTCCTGAATTAATAAATATATTCAAGAAAAAAAATCGAGCTTGGGTTAAAATGAAAAAATATAACAACAATTCAAATTATAATATATTCACAATATATAGAAAAAAGTTTTAAACAGTATCAGAAAAATGCTACAAAACTTACATGGCGAAGGTTGAAAATAGCATAAAAAATAACATTAAATACTTTTAGAAGTTCATATCTCAACGCCGTAACATTTCAGAGATCCCAAGTAGTGTACAATATAAAGGTTCTATTGCTCATAGTCCAAAAGAGTCCTGTGATCTATTTAGCAAATTCTTTCAATCTGTGTTTCAACGATCATCTGTACCACATGATTTCGATATTGATGATATTTGCATACCATTTGAAAATACATCTGACTTTACTATTCATAACATCAAAGTGACTAGATCTCAGGTACGTAAAGCCCTGCAAATGTTAGATGTATCGAAGGGCGCTGGGATGGGTAACATACCAGGTGTTTTCTTCAAGGTAACTGCATCTGTAATCGATCTTCCTTTGTGCTATCTTTACAATAAATGCTTATCTGATGGAACATTTCCTGACATTTGGAAAAGTGCAAGAATAGTCCCAGTTTTCAAGGATGGATCAAAAAGTGACGTTATGAATTATAGACCAATATCAATACTGCCCATTCTTTCCAAAGTTTTTGAGCGTTTGGTGCATGATGCTATTTACCCCCTATTGCATAATGTTATCTTAGATGAACAACACGGTTTTGTTAAACGGCGATCTACTATAACTAATCTTATCACTTACACATCAGATTTGTTTAGTGCGCTTGACACCAATACACAAACTGACAGTATTTATACTGATTTCCGGAAAGCATTTGACACTGTTGATCATAAAATACTATTGGAGAAGATTGCTTTCAATGGTATACGCGCGCAATCTCTGGCGTTGGTTCAAATCTTACGTCTCTAATAGAACGCAGAGGGTTGAAATTAAAGGTTTGGATTCAGATGTTACAAATGTCACTTCTGGTGTCCCACAGGGCTCCATTTTGGGTCCTCTCTTGTTTGTGATCTTCATAAATGATGTTAAAAATTGCTTTAAAAATAGTCGGTTCCTTTTATATGCTGATGATCTCAAAATATACCAATGCATCGATAGGATAGAGGATCACTATTTGCTTCAAGAAGACCTTGATAGATTTCACAATTACTGTGCTCTTAATAATTTAAGACTCAATTTAAATAAATGTAAAGTAATCACTTTCACAAAAAAACGGAATATAAGCTACTTTAACTATTCTCTTAACGGTACAGATATTGTAAGGGTGAATAATATAAGGGATTGGGGAGTGACTTTTGATAACAAATTACATTTTGATATTCATATACAAAACATAATTAGTAAAGCTTTTAAAATGTACGGACTTGTTATGCGTTCTTCCACTGAATTTAGAAACCCCTTCACTTTAATCTATCTTTTTAAATCTTTGGTCAGGCCACAATTGGAGTACGGAGCGCCTGTATGGAACCCACTTTATAATAAATATAATCATAGCATTGAAATGGTACAAAAAAAGTTCTTGCGTCGCATTAATTATAAGTATCACCGTGAGCGTTTATCATATGTGCTCCTTTTAACAAAATATAAGCTCTTAGACTTAAGGTCTAGGCGCACTCAACTTGAGGCAAGATTACTTTATGATCTGTGCAATAACAAGTATGATTGCGCAGATTTAATTAATCGTATTAGTTACTCCGTACCATCTCGGGCATGTATGCGTTCTTTGCGTCCTCACTCACTCTTTGCTGTGCCAAGATCTCGGACAAACGCTGGTATCAGATCACCCCTTCATCGTATGGTTGACACATACAACAAAAAATTTAATTCTGTAGATTTATTTACTTGCAGTGCCAGATCCTATAACAGACAGCTAGTAAACTTGCTGTTAAACACTTAATATCTCGTTAAAGACCTAAACTACATAATACTAATTATAAATCATCTAACCAATGACTATATATATATATATATATATATATATATATATATATATATATATATATATGTGTGTACATGCATAAAGATATACACACGCGTGCGCGATCGCATGCGAGCGCACATATGCTAACACACTAAACTCTAACCTCTAATATATGTCAAAATAATATTTTAGAAATTAAAATACTTTTCTTTTACAAAACTAGGTCCCTCACATATTATCTTATTTTTTTATACTCAATGTGTGACCATCGTCGTTGAGTTTATAATAAGTAATAAATTGTAATAGAACATAAGCTTTAACATAAGACATATTGTAAACTTGTTTGTGGTTCTCTAAATAAATTAAAAAAAAATTTTAAGAGAAACTGACGACTGTAATGTAGGTAATGTTTCTTTGTTTGATTCCAAACAATATTATCAAGCTTTCTATTTGCTATAATTGTAACTAAATCTACAGTGCCTCAAAAACATAACGCTATACAAGTAGATTTAACCTATAAATAAATATACTTTCAACAGTAAAATTATGAAAAGACATGGCATTACTCTATTCGTACATTTCCATACAGTAGATACTTTGAGTACCACTTTAACGAATATTCGGTGATTTAGCCGAATATTCGGTAAACCTGCCGAATATGCCGAATACCGAATATGAAACGAATATTCGGCCCACCTCTAATTATAATATGGAAAACATAACGAAATTTAAAGATTACATAAAACGTATCTCTTTTTCGGAAATATACGATACAGATGATCCAAACGCAGCATATAATAAATTTATCGATACATTTAGACTTATTTACGATTTATATTTTCCGATTAAATTGATTAAAGTAGATATAATAAAAAACCAAAGTGGTTGTCTAAAGGAATTAAATTATGCAGTCGAAAGAAAAGAAAACTTCTGTGGTAGCTAAGATTAAATCCTAACAGTAAGAACAAAATTTTATTTTCAAATTATTCGCAGTTATATAAAAAAAATATTAGATTGACACAAAAGGCACAAAATAACCAAAAAATAAAAGCATCTAAAAATAAGTCTAAAACAACTTGACAAATTATTAAACGAACAATACAACTTACCTACACGCAGTATTAATAAAATTAAGGTAAATGATCAAACTCTATCAAATCTTCAGTGCATCGCTGAAGCATTTAACAACTATTTTATCGATAATATTCAGGCAAATATAGATGTCACTAACAAACATAAATCTTGTAAAATAAATACCAACTAAATCTCTGTTCATGCCACCTAGTGTTCCATTAGATATTCACAAAATAATAATGTCATTAAATAATACAAGTAGCGTGGGATAAGATGGCATTGCTACAAAAATATTAAAACACACATCAAAAAATATTAAAAAAAACATCAATTATGAAACCGCTGTTTAAAAAGGAAAATAGAGAACTAATGGAATATTATCGGCCCATCTCACTTATTCCCGTAATTTCAAAAATATTTGAGAAATATAATATATATATATATATATATATATATATATATATATATATATATATATATAGGGAAATATATAAATTTATTGAAAAATATAACATTTCATGTGAGGAACAAAAAGGATTTAGACCACATAGGACAATCAACATGGCCATATATGACTTTATATACAATATTATTAACAATATCGATAAACGTAGACATGTCTATGGCATATTTTGCGACATGACAAAGCAACACTCACAAAACGCTACTCTTTTAGAAAAACTTGAAGCCTATGGCATTAGAGGCAATGATCTTAATCTAATTGAATCTTACTTAAAGAATAGAATACAAATAACAGAAATTAATCAAATTAATATAGCAAATAAGAAGGAAGAGATATTTCGATCGTCAAAGCGCGAAGTTAAATTTCGAGTACCACAGGGGAGTGTGCTGGGTCCTTTTATATTTATATTGTACATCAATGACTTACCTACATGCATTGAGCAACCACTAACACTGTTTGCGGATGATACCACAGTGACAATACCATGTAAAAATGTAGAGACCTATGAAATTAACATTAATAACTCCTTAAAATTAGTTGTAAACTGATTAGACAAAAACAATTTAAAAATAAACTTAAATAAAACAAAAGTTATCCATTTCAGTCAACGGATTCCTAGCATGAGCCAAAATGTACACTACAATAATGATGTTGTAAAAGAAGTTGAAACCGCAAAGTTCCTGGGTCTCGAAGTAGATAAACATCTTAACTGGAAAGCACACATTAATACTTTATGTAAAAAAAAATTGTAAAACCGCATATGCTTTACATATTTTGTCTTCAATAGCATACACGGATGCACTCCTCACTGCTTACTACGGCTTAGCAGGATCCCACCTCCGATATGGAATAATATTTTGGGGTAACTCAACCGAAAAAGAATCAGCGTTTAAGGCTCAAAAAAGATGCATAAGGGCGATGTTTAAGCTTAAAACTACCGATAGTTGCATGCCATATTTTAAACAGTATAAAATACTGACATTACCTTGTTTATACATACTAGAAGTAGCAGTGTTTGTTAAATTGCATCCAAAGGGTTTTAAACGCTTTGACCAAGTAGTTCCACGTAATAAACGCGACAATACCCTTTTGTGTCATCAATCCGCTAAGACAGCACTAATGCGCAAAAGTATATACTGCATGGCTCCAGTCATATATGATAAAATACCAAAAAGTTGGAAAGAATTGCCGCTATCGATATTTAAAAAAAAGGCTTCGTAGCTTCTTGACAGTCAAAGCATACTATAGCGTAACAGAATTCTTGACTGAAAAAAATTTATTTTGAGATTAAGACTGTATAATGTAAAATTTTTTAATTATGTTTGTTTTTGTGTTATTATTTTATTTGTTATAGCTGTTTTGGTGAATAGTTTATATTTCTGTATATTTTGCATGCCTACTGGTAAAATATGGCTGAACTCACTACCTATATTTTCAAGTACTGTACCCATATTTGCAAAATAAAATCTTCATTCAAAAAAATCAATTCTTCATTTTGTTTAATTTGGTCCAATTAAATGTCGCTGCATATGTAGGTAACGTGTTTTATTCCGGACGGAGCGGGACGTGAAATATCGTTTCATAGAAAATGTTCGTGATAATGCATACGTTCAGTGAAGATGATTTTTCAAAGAAGTTGTGGTACGTCTCTTTCGTAACTTTTTTTATATATTTTGCACTGAGACTTATCCCGATCACTTTCGTATAGTTTAAAATAAGTCCAGATATTACTTTGTATTGGTAACGACATTTTTATTCACTTTTTTAAATTTATAATTTAAACAACGAAATATTTACGGAACACAATACACTTAGGCAAATAGAGCTTACTTAACTTGCAAAAAGTGCATTTTTAAGGCTAATTCTTAATAAAAAAATTAAAACTTGACTTTTTTGTGACTTAAAAATAAGAAATGATTCTAGAAAAACCTTATATCTAACAATGGATGGAAAAAATTAGAAATGAACACCCAAGAATTTTGTTTAAAATGTTTTACTAAAATGTATAATAAATACAACACTGTAAAAGAAAATAAATCTTAAAGCAATTTGGACGGATTATTCGGGATGTAGTTACATGATTACTTCATAAGTACAAAGATACCACAATATACATTTGTTAACATACACATTGTAATTATATTTAATAATATTAGTACATAAAGAAAAAAATATTACAATTAAGAAATGAATTAATACAATAGTTATTTTAGTCTTACTTTTCATTGACATATTTCATATAAAAAGTGTATAGAAAATTAATAAATGTGTAATAATCAACTTTTTTTAAGTATATTAATATTTATAATTTTAAGTTTGAAATACAGAAAACAAGCTAGGTATATTTCAAAAAACCATGGTATACTAAACTAAGACGTTACAATATAAATATTGTACGATGTGTCAATGTCGCAGCCAATTAGCTTAATTGCAACATTACATGGCATGGTCACCCTATATTACTCACCCGACTTCAAAAAAGGAAGAGGTTTTCAATTCAATTGTGTTTTTTTTATGTGTTACCTCAGAAGTTTTTTCTAGGTGCACTGATTTTGATGATTCTTTTATCTCTCTCTCTCTCTCTCTCTCTCTCTCTCTCTGATTTTAAAGCTGGTGCTTTTCATATGGTCCAATATGAATTTGATCAAGATCTGAGCAATAGTTTTTGAGTTATCCTTAATAAGGCATACTTAATTGACTTCGACTAAATAAATGACGTTCTCATTTTATTTATATTGAAGTCGGTTGTACAAAATTTTAATTTTACCATTTGTTTCATTCAAGGAGTCGGTCGCTGGTTTATGCCAAATTATGCGCTATGTGCTATGTTATATAAATGTACGCGGCTTTAAGATGGCCCAGAAGGCCATCGCAGCCACACCTTAACCTACTGTCACCGATATTACAAGATATGTGCAATGTCGTATTAGACGCAATGGATGAATATCATTCAGGCCGCTAGTAGAATGGCCCCGTTTAGTTAAAAGGCTAGGCTGTTAATTAAAAGGCTTATTAATCTATTTGGCTGCAATATCTACGTAATAATTCATCTAAACTGAGAAGGCACTAATTGTGTACTACTTATTTTTAACTAACAATAGGTGCTTAAACATTATATTTGAGATTCATTTTTTAATAAGACATTTAAATACTACACATTTGTTTGTTCAAGAAATGTATTAGATTTTCATTAGTGGACTGGTAATATGTTTTCAATTCAGTAGCTTTCATCGTTGTTTTTTTTTTTAATTTAAATTATTCAGTCGTATTATTTACCGAATACATAGTCATTATACTTACAAATTACCTTACATACTGACTCACATACATACAACCTTTTTTTTATGATTGATCTGTTTAAAACTTAATTTTGTTTTTACTCAGAAATTGATATGACTTATTCACTGGGAGACAAACTGATTGTCCTTTACATTAGCAGCGCTAATGTTAAACTCAACAACACGGTGCTAAATCCTATATATGAAGCATCATTACTCCTCCAAAAGGAATAACTAAAAGTGAATATCCTTATTTGGTTTTCTTTAGTTGACCATGGGTCACTGCCATCATCAAAATGCATTGGACACTGATCACGTTCCCGCTCATACTCTTCCATTTCAACGGCGACCGCAGCGCCCTCAGTATAATTCCACGACGTAACATCTTGTTTTAGATCACAATATGGGCCTAGTGCCTGAGACATGAGCACCCTGAAATCGAAAAATTATGTTAGGAGTTAATTATTTAGTTCTGTGAATATAACACTAATTATATACCAAATCACATGTTTAACATTTAAAACTTTTAAGTTAAATCTTTTTAATCCAGATAACTAAGATTTTTTTTTAAAATATCTCAAAATGATTACTGTGAGCCTTTTGAATAATGTACTTTGAATGGTACTAATAGTTTACAATACACTAAGTGCTGATTTTAAATATGCTTGGCGATGAAGGTAAATTGCATTACCGAGAAATGAAACAAGCTATCGTGGACGTGGACTCCACTCAAACTCAAGTTTTTTATAAATTAGGGCAACCTATGCCCAGAATCCTAGAGGTCGGATATTTGATAAAGATATAGATTGTTGTTGACGTGACAACGACTAATAAATCGACGAACGCCGACTGCATGCACGAAAAATGATGACTCATTGTTCTGTTACGCTCCAGCCAAACCGAGCACGATCGAAGCGAGAGCGCGACACGAACGAGAGAAAGGTACGATCGGCTTGAGCGTCGTAGATTTCATTTGACACCTTCTTTGCAAAAATAGTGATAATTCAGTAAAAATAATTCAATTTTATTCATAAAAGTAAGCAATCATTTCATAAATGTTTTGACGTTGTCACATCAAACTATCGTCCGTAAACCGACTTTACAGATAACCATTTTTACCAGTTTTATAAAAATACACCAATCTTGATCTGCCTCCAGTCTTCAGTTTCATATTCAGTGCTGTCGAGAACGTGTTTATAAGTCTGAAAGACGCTCTTGACCTTGTTTTTCTCAATAAAGTTTAAAGATTTTACCTTTTCATCGTGAGGAAGTCTGAGAAATAAGAAAAATATATTCCAAAGACGTGAAGTTCGTCAACACGCATTGCGCGGCGGACATTTGTTTACCCCAAAACCCTCTCAGAAACGGCAGGAGGCCTGTGCACAGCAGTGGAATTTATATAGGCTGTAACTTTTTGATTTCATAAACCATTGTATCTACATAACAAAAATATTCAGTCAAGTTGATTAGAACTTATATGATCACTAACAGACGCACCATCAATTATGTATGTATCAAAGACACAATACAAAAATAATTATTAATATCACCTGTTTAAATCAGCCCTTTGATATACCCAGCAACGGTACTTGGAGAAAGGATCTAATTCATCATAAGTGATCAAGTAAGATTTCAAATTTTCTTTCCAATACCCAATGCACTTCATCTTGTAATCAGGGTCACTGTATATATCCACAGGTCTTCCCAAATGATCAACGGACAGACAGTAGTTCTCCTTTATTTGTATCGTCTTTTGGTCTGGGTCACATACAGAGAAATCACTAATATTTATTTTACAGTACAAGTTGGGACGGGGGCTTAGTGTCACACCCCCAAGTATTCTTGTCTCAAACCTCACATCTCCTCTTTGCGTGAAGTTAAATTTACCAGCAACAGGACAGCGAATAGGCGATGGGTCCTTTTTAAGGAAAATATCGTATCGCCATTGTTGTTTGTTCGGAAACTGAACCCATGAGCATACAGTATGGAAGTTGCTCTGAATCATGGCTAAGCCTTTACGGTACCTGAAAAAATGAAATATTATATTACAAATACAATTAACCTCGCAATAATGCAATTAATTCGTGTGGCGTTATTTGAAAATCCTACTATATATAAAAATATTCGGCTTAAATACAAATAAAATTAATTGGGTCATGTTGGAGGTAAATAAAGAAGTAAATTTTACATAAAGCAAACTGATTACCTTTCAATTACATGTGATGCACACTCAGTAAAATAGTTTTTCTTTATATTTATACATCATTACGTCATAACATAATGTTTTTTTCACATAATGGTAGTAGCAACATATTATCTAAGGCTAACAAGATGTTATTGTTAGCCTTATATTTATTGTTTGGCTCAAAGCGCTTCTTTCAAAGCACCCTCCCCATGGGCTTCTCGAGAAATTGTGCAATTGGATCACTAGTTTCCTTACTGATCGGAGGGGTTTTCATCAAGGTCGTAGTAGACAGTGCATACTCTGATTACAAGCCTACTAACGCTGGTGTTCCACGAGGCTGCGTGCTATCACCAACGCTGTTTCTTCTGCATATCAATGATATGTTGCAAACTCGTGACATTCATTGCTATGCAGACGACAGCACTGATGATGCCTTATACACCGGCCGTGCCAATATTTCTAGGGAAAACATCGCCGAGTATCGGGACAAACGTATCTCTGAAGTAGAGTCTTTATAGACATTTTTTATAGACATTTACCAGATTTAGTCACACACATTCCGAGACTTTGTTCGGACGAACAAAGTCTCGGAATGTGTGCGACTAAATCTGGTCCGATTCAAATTTCAGAAGACACAAGTTCGCGCGTTTACCGCTAAAAAGAACCCTTTTGTCGTATCTCCTCTGTTCCAAGGCACTTCCCTTGCTGCCTCAGCTAGCATCAGAATCCTCGGCGTCGACATATCGAAAATTGTGCAGTTTCGTGGTCACTTGGAGGGTAGGCCGAATTAGCCTCTAAAATGCTTGGCGTGCTTAGCAGAGCGAGATAGTATTTCATGCCGTCACATCGTTTGCAACTTTACAAAGCGCAAGTTAAGCCTCACATGGAGTACTGTTCTCATCTCTGGGCCGGGGCACCCCAGTGCCATCTCCTTCCAATTGACCGCATCCAGCGCAGAGCGGTTCGAATCGTCGACGACCGAGTTCTTTCTGATCGGCTCGATTCACTGGTACTAATGGTTGCATCCCTTTGCATTTTCTATCGCATTTACCACGGGGAGTGTTCTGAGTAATTGTTCGGATTAGTTCCAGCCGCCAAATTTCACGAACGCACATCGCGTCAAAATTCACGATACCATTCTCACCATCTGGATGCTTTAGTCCACTCACTCTCGTGAGTGGAACTCGTGTACAGCTTCATTTTGGCGTTCTAAAAGTTGTCTCAAAAGTCTCATATTATCTCGTGTCTGCGTCGTAAGTTATTCGAGGTCAACAGTCACGAAAATTAGTTTTTTTTTTGCATTTATCTCCGTTTCTATGGTTCCAATCAGTTCAACACCTATTATGAAAATTAAAGATAAAAAAATTTGCCACAACTTTTGTCTCAACTTTTTTCTATACGCTCAACCCTTTTCGAGATAGAGGGCGGAGAGCACCCAGCGCTCAAGCATATATACTGTAATACAAGGTCAACCGTGAATCTCGGTGAATAATACCTTGTATACAGTTACCAAATCATTAAAATATTATCAACAATAAATAATTTGTATTATTTATTAGTTAACTCTTCAAGCGCCATAGAAATACCATACAGTCACAGCACTTAAAACCATTAAAACTTATATTTAGAGACTACTTTTTAAGAAGAAGTTTAGCATTACAAAATCTATACAAAATTCTCTATCTTGTGGTCTAAACAAAAGTCAGGTTTTACTTCATTATAAAAAGATTTTTTTGTATTTTCATAACAAAAAAAAACATATCAAGCGAATGTCGGTAGCGTGAAAATCACAATTATTTCAATATATATTACTCGAAGTTATTTACGTAAAAAGATAAATTATATTCACACAAAAACTTTCATTAGAATTTTATAATAAAACACTATACTAAAACACTAATAAAATACAAGTGTAATAGTGGAGACGAACTGTCCACTATTAACAGACTCCGAGTGGTTTTCTTTAAGGTGGAGAAATGAAACTACTGTTTATGTTTAAGAATGTACTGTCGAATGGGATTCGGAATGGAATATCTTTTGCATCAACCTTGCCTATATTTATATGGCTGGCTCACTATTGATTTGCCAATGGTAACAATTAATATTTTGCCTAGCCAATTATATTGCTTATTTTATGACCAATGAAAACTATTTAAAATATACAATTATCTACGTTTCGTTTCCCGGCGTGAGACTTGTTTGTTGTTCACGAAGCTACGTCGCTGGACCGGGCCATACAAGACACGCAGATCGGTGCGCACGCGTAGTCGGCGGGCGGCGGCGGTGTGGAATACAGCTCCGGAACAGCAAGAGGAAACGAACTGCGGCGTTGAAGAAACGGCTCACCATTGGTCGACGGATACGTGACGATAGCGGCGTGTGAAGTCGGTGTGGCGCTGAATGATATTTGCGGCTGCTTCTTGTTTCTTTATAAGAACGTCAAATTATCTATATACAGTCCGCAGTATCTCAGTAGCCAAGAATAATTAGGAAATAAAATGTTTTTTTTATTTATTCTCGCCTTCCGCGTTATGGTAGCAGCGGAGTATATATTATTTATTCCCGTTTAGGTTTGATTAATCTGGCTGCTACATCACTCTCCCCCTAGCGAAAGCGTACCGGAGGCTTGACGACTCGCCCGTATTTCGTAGTTTTTAAAATAGGTTTCAACTGGGTTGATGTAGATGATGAAGTTTCAAGCTTCCTCGCTGGTGGTTTTGATGATGATGATGAATCCTCTGCAGTATCCTCGTTAATAATATAGGCAGGCTTTAGTCGGTCGATCGATATAATCGTAGATTTCCTTCCGGGTATTTGTAGTTTAAAAGTCTTGCTATTTCTCTCTAATACTTTATACGGTCCATCGTAGGTAGGTTGAAATTGTTTTTTCATTGCGTCGTTTCTTACAAAAACTTGTTTGCATGTTTTCAAATCTTGGTGAATGAATACTGATTTATTATTTCTGTGTGATTGCATTTCGGTGCATTTCAACGATAAGGCTTTGTTAATTGATTCTCGAAGTTTAGTTACGAAATCGTAATCCATTTCTTGTTTGTTTGACGCTGCTGAACTGAAGAAGTCACACGGCAGCCTTATGCTGCAGCCGTAGGTTAGCTGAGCGGCGCTAAGACTAGTGTCTGCACGCGGTGTTGCTCGTAGTCCGAGTAGCACTGTAGGTAGCTCATCAATCCACTTTGTATGTTGAGATAAACGAGTTTTGAGTGCAGTCTTTAATGTACGATGCCATCGTTCGATTATTCCGTTTGACTGAGGATGGTATGCTGTTGTACGCGTCTTCTGTATTCCCATAGTTTGAAGAAGTTTGAGGAATAGGTTGCTTTCGAAATTCCTTCCTTGATCCGTTGTGATGGTTTTAGGTGATCCGAAACGAGTAATCCAATTTTCATAAATTATCTTCGCGACGGATTCGGCTGAAGTATCATCGGTAGGTATTGCTTCTGGCCATCTTGTTGTTCTGTCGATCATTGTTACGAGATAACGATGTCCTTGCGTTGAAGTAGGTAATGGTCCAACGATGTCAACGTGCAAGTGTTCGAATCTCTCCGTGGGTGGAAATGTAGCTAGACTACTTGATGTATGCCTTTGTACTTTGCATTTTTGGCATTGAATGCATTGCTTCGCCCAGTTGCCAACATCCGCTTGCATTGCAGGCCAAAAGAATTTTTCAGTGATGAGTTTTCTTGTTGTTCTAACACCTGGATGACTAATGTTGTGCAGTGCATTGAAGACTTCGCGACGACATTCTTCTGGTATGTATGGTCGCATGGTTGTCGTTGAGGCTTCACAGTATATAGGTAGATGCGTCATTGGCATTGTAACTTGCTTGATGGACAAGTTACCTTGCTTCGATAGATGTTTTATGTTGTCACTATCTCTGTCTTGTGCTGCGGCGATCTTATGATAGTCGATTGATGTAGGGCACGTTACACTGTCGATTGGTACGCGACTGAGTGCGTCGGCAACTATGTTGTCCTTTCCACTGATGTGACGTATGTCGGTCGTGAATTCACTTATGAAAATAAGTTGTCTTGCTCTTCGTGGTGTTTCCGATAGTGATGGTTTCTTTGGAAGTACATATGTTAATGGCTTGTGGTCGGTAAAAACGATCAGGTTTCGACCCTCGAACGTTTTTCTGAAGTGCTTGATAGCCATGTAAATAGCGAGTAGCTCTCGGTCGAATGTACTGTAGTTACGTTGAGTATCGGAGAACTTCTTCGAAAAATATCCAAGTGGTTGCCATTTCCCATTGCTGTATTGTTGGAGAACTGCTCCTGCTGAGAGATCGGATGCGTCGCTGAAGATAGCAAGGGTTGCTTCGTGTGATGGGTGAGCGAGTAAAGCTGCATTTTGGATCGCAATTTTACAAGCTTCAAATGCCTTCGTGGCTTCATCGTTCCATTCGATTGACGTTTTATCTTTTTTCTTCGTGTTGTGAAGGTAGGCGTGAAGTGGTGCTTGGATTTCAGCGGCTTTAGGTATGTGTTCTCTGTAAAAATTTATCATCCCAAGAAAACGCCTTAGCTCTTCGATAGTTTTAGGTTTTGCATAATCGATGATTGCTCTGACTTTTTCGGCAGGCGGTTTTATTCCTTCCTTGCTGACGGTGAAACCAAGAAATTGAACTTCTTGCTGTCCAAATATGCATTTCGAAGGGTTGATTGTGATTCCGTTGTCTTCTAATCGCTGTAGCACGGTGCGTAGATGGGTTTCGTGCGTTTCTTTATCAGGGCTTGCAACAAGGAGATCATCAATAAATGCGAAAACGAAATCCAGTCCATGAAGTACTTCGTGTATGAATCTTTGGAAAGTTTGACCTCC